TGAGAAGCCATACTACTTAGTTGAGAGTTGAGAGATCAGATCTCCTCGTTCAAAAAAAAAAAAAAAAAAAAAAAAAGAGATGATCCTCATTCATGAGTCCGGATTCTCGCTGGATCCTGATTGTGAGGATTTTGCGAATTCATGAATCGTGTCCGTTTATCGTATATCGTGCAGTTAAAAACTATTTTAAATATTTTTATTTTAAAATAAACATAAACAGTATGTGACAAAAACTGACCGTACAATGTAAAACAAACGAACATGATTTAATTTACGAATTTTCAAAATCTTCACCAAAAAGGATCTGGAAAGGATCCTGTTGGCTTATTCATCTCCCACTACCACTAATATGCCACGTAGGATTTGCTTGGTGTGGGGTCCTTTACAATAAATGCCACGTAGGTATCATTAGCCAATGGCAGAAAGCCATTTTATCACTGGCCAAAAAGTAAAGTTCCTTATCTTGTCCACTTATTTCTCACCACATAAGAAATCCTTCTGATCCATCCAAAATAAACTCAAACTTCTGCCACTCAGACTGAGTGAGAGGTGGCAGAGATGGCGGTGGAGATGGCCATCAGAGCTTCCGCCACCCCAAGACCCTCCCTGCCTCAACCATCTCCGGCCACACCCAAACTTTCTCTCAAGCCACCCAAATTTAGACCCACCTCTGTTTCCCTACCAACATCAACCACAATCTCCCTTTTAGCCCTCTTCACCTCCCCCATTGAAGCCAAAGCTTTCAGCCTCTCCAAGGACCAGATTGTCTCTTCACTCACTGAAGTAAGAATTGTATAAAGTTGTTTTCTTTGAATTGGGTTTGCCGCCAATTGTTCAAAGTTCTGATCTTTCTGGTTTTTTTGCCGCCAATTGTTTGCTTGAATTGGCAGGTGGAGCAGACGATTGATCAGATACAGCAAGTGGGTTCGACCGTTTTCGACGGCACGGCACATGTTCTGGAAGCTGTTCTGAATGCAGTGAAGCCCGGCATTGATGTGGCTTTGCCTATTGCGAAACAGGCCGGAGAGCAGGCGCTGAAGATTGCTTCTCCGGCGATTTCCGAGGTTTCGAAGATTGCTCAAGAAGCAATCCAAGGCGCTGGGGTTGACACACAGCCTGTTCTCAGTGCTGCAAAGGTTTATTCTTTAACAACTTAATTTCCATTTGCAATGATCTGCCGAAAAATTAGTGAAAAGCCCAATGAATTGCTTGATATTAGAGCATCACTCCATATGCAATCACAAGGGGTTTGCTGATTAACTTAATTTTTCAGATAAGTGGTTAGTGTGGTTCGAACTTCGAATTGAGATCTAATTTCTGAGTACCTGACTTTTGGATATCTATGAGCAATGCAGTTTTCATTTTGAACTCGGACCTCGGGTGCAAGGGAGAATGCTCTCTAAGTTCTTAACCAACTGAGATACAAACACCGCTAAATGTAGTTGTTTTAGGTTCACTATGTCAGGAAACATTCTCATCAATATAATGTAGTCGGAAGCGGTTCACTATGCAACAGTCTTCATCTCTAGTAGAGCATTAAAACGCTTCCATATACTTTTAAGTGAACAAATTGACACTGTAAAATCCATTGCTTATTGGGAAATGGATGATTGTAAGGTTTGACTAGTGTACAAGCACTCCGTTTACTTAAATTAAAGACACTACCTGAAAGATCGATTTGGTCTCAGACGGTAGCTGATGTAGCAGGGGAGACCACCAAAGCAATCGAAGAGGCCAAGCCCATTGCTTCGTCAACTATCAAGACCATCTCATCTGCAGATCCTATTGTGATTGCCGGAACTGCTGGAGCTTTATTCCTCGCGTACCTCCTTCTTCCTCCTGTCTGGTCTGCTCTATCTTTTAGCCTCCGTGGTTACCAAGGTATACAAGCTTATTACGAAATGGAATTGCTTCATGTCTGTATAACAGTAAACATATTCGAAACAAGAATAAACAATGGCGTCTTCTGCTTGAAATAGCACGTATAACTGCATTTACGCACCATATCGATCAATTTCAAATTCGAGTACTTAAAATTTAGGTTTGCTTACTCAACACATTCAAAACAAGTTTTGGTTTGGATGGTACTTTTACTAAATTCATGTATTGTGAAGTTGGGATGGACTAATTGTTCTATGGTTTTGTGTTGTACTAACTCCAGGTTCGCTTACTCCTGCTCAAACCCTTGATCTCGTATCAACAAAGAATTACCTTTTGATCGATATTCGACCAGAGAAGGACAAGGACAAGGCAGGCATTCCCCGCCTACCATCAAGTGCCAAAAGCAAAATGATTGCCATTCCGTGAGTAACTTCTCCCCGGCATCCTCAATCCTCTAATTTGTACCCTTCCTGCATCCCATTTATGAACCTTTCGTTGCCTCAAATATTTTTTTTCTTTCCAGTTTGGAAGAACTACCAAACAAATTGCGAGGCCTTGTCAGAAACGTGAAGAAAGTAGAGGCAGAGATAGCCGCGCTGAAGATTTCTTACCTCAAGAGAGTTAACAAAGGCTCCAACATCGTGATCCTGGACTCGTGAGTTCTTTCGTATTAAGCTCCAACACTTAAAACTACTACCTGACATAGATATTGCTCTCTGGGTCATATTAAGTAGCTAAATTATGAGTTATGACATTGCTTTCGTTCTTGTTTTTTGTTTCTCGTAAACAGGTACTCGGATTCAGGAAAAATAGTTGCAAGAGCACTAACTAGTCTAGGGTTCAAGAACTGTTGGACAGTAGCAGATGGGTTCTCAGGAAGCAAGGGATGGTTACAGAGCCGTTTAGGCGCAGATTCGTACAATTTATCTTTTGCGGAGGTCCTTTCGCCATCAAGAATCATCCCAGCAGCGGCTGGACGTTTTGGCACAAGCAGCACGTCAGCGCAGTCCGGGCGAAAGCTTCTTCCTGGATCCGACTGAGTAGCTTGTAAATTGTTTCGTGTTCTTCCTGGTCGGAAGCTTGTACATCACGTGTAAAACAGCATTTGTACGACGGCAATAACTGAGTACTTGTACTACCTTGAGGTTATGGTGTGGGCATTTGGCCCCTTTATATGCTTTAAACATCTCCTCATCAGACCAAAACTTCAACTGCGCCAAGAAAACAGTTTATCAGCGTGCGTGCATGCATGCAACAAGAACCATTAACCGCGCGTGCGTAAGTCATAAGATCAATAAAATTATAAGAGAAAACTAGAGTAATGGTATCTGACGTTGGATTAATTGGGGCAATGATCCTGAATTGAAGTCTTGGTTCCTGAACTTGGCACAATGGAGAGTAATGACATTTTGAGTAACACCGGTAGAAATTCCACAAAAAATAGAGTTTAAATGGGTCAAAAATGAATGAAAAGTCTAATGGAGTTGGTTAAAATGATCATTGTCACATATTATAACAAGTTCAGGACCAAAGCTCACAAATTTCAAGTTTAGGGGCCAATGCTCACGAATTTTTGGTTCATGGACTATTGCTTCAATTAAGCTAAAATTGAAACACCATTACTCTAATTGAATTAAAATTCAGGAACCATTACTTTAAGGGAGCTGATTTTCACACACCTTTTATAGCTTTTCCCACACCCCTCTTTGTTCCAGGCCATCGGATTGAATAAATCAAATGAAAACAACGGACATGATTAGCCAGGGGTGTGTAGGAAGCTATAAAAGGTGTGTGTTTATCATTTTCCTACTTTAATTATATCAAACTATAAAACCAGATAAGCTGCATGCACGACGTGACCAAGGGAACATCGAACACTGCAGCAGAGAACAACTTCATGCATAAAACGCACAAGATTCCCCATGAAACGACAGAGCACAAACAGAAGAGAAAAAAAAAAAAAAAAAAAAAAACCTGATATAAGTCCAATTTTTTTAGGGATGTGCTATCCACACACCCATTTTTACTTCTTACACACCTTTTGTTAATTTTGTCCGTTGATCTTCATTATTTCATCCGATCCGACGGCTGAAAATTAGAAGAGTGTGTGGATATCACACCCCTTTTTTTAACCGATAGTAGAAATAGTCCAATTTATTAAAATAAGTCTAATTCTTTAAATTTAATTATTTAATTATTAATAATTATCTATTCAATGATAAGATATATTATAAAAATCAATTTATTCCTAATTATCTCTTTAATTATTTCTTTTTATTTTTTTTTTATTTTTTTGTAATTTCTTGTTCTTCCTCCTACTTTAAACCCTATTTATAAATTATATTTTTAATTTTTATAATCAATCTATATCATAGGAATTATTTTTATGTATCTATATAACAAATTATTTTTTATAATTAACCTGTCACAGATTAATGTCTTGTTTGTAGGTATATTATGTTTTTTTTTCTTCTACCCTTTAATTAGGTTTCATATCTTGCTTACAGGTATAAAATACATTCATATATTTGTTACTTGAGTTAAGGTAGAATGTTTGGAAGATAGATTTATGTTAGTATATTAGTTTTTTTTTTTGTTATAAGATATTAATTAGATTTTTTTGGAGTTGAAAAATGCATAATATTAGAAGATTTTAATTGATTTTTAATATTTTTAGAAAATATAAAATGAGTATAAAAGAAATAAAAATATGCAATTAAATAATTGAACTCCCTCCTAAAAATCATTTATGTTTTTGGACTTGAATCTAAAAGCTGAAAAAAAAAAATGAAAATGACTTGAAATATTTGAGTTTTAATAAAAAATGACAAAAAAATATTGTAAGTAAATAGTAGACTTTTTAGAGTAAAAATATCATTTTCTTTAAAAGTCAACAGTAATGAGAGCTTTTAGTTAAAACTCCCAAAAAGTTGAAAAATGAACCAACCAACAACCTAGTAGAAGCTGTTATCTCACACAGGCACACCTCCGTCTACCGATCACATTGAAAAATCTTCCCTCGAAATGAACTAACCAACAACGTAGTAGAAGCTTTTATCTTACACGCATACCCAAAATGAGCCAACAAACAAACAACGTAGTAGAAGCACCCACACCCTCAACCACTACCCACCGGGCCCCACCTCCCCACCCCTCCAACCTACCCAGCTCACCAGCTTAGCTCTCATTTCTCTCTCTCACTAATTATTGGCGACGGCGGCCGGAAGATGATGGCGTATAAGAGCCTGGACGGCGTTACAATTTCCGACATCGAAGTTCTGGGGATCGAATCGGGTGCTGCGAAGAGACTCCATGGAAGTTTGACTGATATCATCGCTAATTACGGAGCCGCCACACCGGAGACGTGGCGCAATATCACTGCGCACGTCCTCAGCCCCGAGCTTCCCTTCTCGTTCCACCGGATGTTGTACTACGGCTGCTACAAGGACTTCGGACCCGACCCGCCCGCCTGGATGCCCGACCCGTTAGTTCTCCAACCCAGAAAAAAAGTTTAATATTTGGTTTTTAGCCTTGGAGTTATAAATTATTTACTTACAAAGTTTAGAGGGAGTGTTTGGTTCCTGGGAAAGTTGTTTTCTGGAAAAATTTGTGTGTTTCCTTGGTGATGAAACGCGCCTGTGAGCATAACGAACAAACGAACCAGTGGGAAATTCTGATAGTTTAGAAGCGGTTTTAGAATGGCCAAAAGCACTTTCTGTTTCAGAGCAACAAACGCTTGTGGAATAATTTCACAGAAAAAGCTAAAATGCTTATGGGTTATACGTGCACTTACTTTCAAGTGCTTTTCTAGGAAGCAGACTTCAACTTTTGGTAAAAGTTGCGCCATCTTCTAAACAAAGCACTTTCTGCAAAAGCTCTTAGGAACATAACTGCTTCCCAGAAGAGCTTAAAGTTTAAAGGGTGTGTTTAGTTCCTGGAAGAGATTTCTGTAATTCCTAGGTGACGAAACGCCTGTGAACTCTACAACAATTAGGAAAGTCGGGGCCATTTTGGAAGTGCTTGGCCAAAAACACTTTCAGCGCAACAAAAGCACTAAGCCGCTAAATTTGACCCCAAAAAATGCTTTTGGGTTATAAATGCTCTGACTTTCATGTGCTTTTCCAGGAAGCACTTAAATTTTTAATGAAAGCGGCGCCATTTCTCTTACGGGGAGTGTTTGGTTCCTTGGAAACGTTGTTTTGGGGAAAATTGTTCACAGTTTTTCTTGGCGATGAATCGCGTGTGAACAAATGAAGCTATTAGAGTTTAGAGGGTTGTTAAAGTAGGAAACTTTGAAGTTTTTACACTGAGATTTTGATAATAAATTCTGAAAGTGCATTTCTTTTTGTGTGATAAGGGAGACTGCAGGACTAACAAATGTTGGCCAGCTACTTGAGAGGAGGGGAAAAGAGCTCTTGGGTTCCAGATACAGGGATCCCATATCCAGCTTTTCGGATTTTCAGGAATTTTCGGTGTCAAACCCTGAGGTAGTATTTATCGAATGCTGAGATGTTTATCGCTTTGGTACTCATTTCACATATCTGATTCCTGTCTTTGTTCGACAGGTTTATTGGAAAACTGTACTACTAGATGAGATGAACGCATCCTTTGATACACCTCCCCAATGCATTTTACGTGAGAATTTGTCTGGAGATGGGCATTTGTTAGTTCCTGGAGGTCAATGGCTTCCTGGAGCGTTTGGGAATCCGGCCAAAAATTGCTTGATTGTAAATCGTAAGAGGAGCTTGAATGATACCATGGTGATATGGCGCGATGAAGGAAATGATGATCTGCCTTTGAATAAGATGACGCTTAAAGAATTGCGCACAGAGGTTTGGTATGCTACTTTTGATCATCTAAGTTTTTTCATGTTGAAATCTTTTTGAGATTTAATGTATGTTTAGTTATTTATTTGCACCTATCACACAACAAAGGGGAATATGTGTATTTATGCATTTATAAAGGGAAGAGTTTTGTTTAACACATTTTTGGTGCTACAATATGCAGGTTAGTTGCACATGCGCTAAAAGCACTGGGTTTGGAGAAAGGCTCTGCAATCGCAATTGATATGCCGATGCATGTCAATGCCATAGTTATTTACCTTGCTATTGTTCTGGCAGGATGTGTTGTTGTATCAATCGCTGATAGTTTTGCTCCTCCTGAAATATCAACAAGGCTTAAAATATCAGAGGCAAAAGCCATATTTACCCAGGTCCTTCTTTTCACTGGATAACCAAAAACATTGCAGGTTACTTTTTCATTTTTCCGTAATCTATTCGATCCTCTTGATGTGTAAACTGGAGGGTGTGGGTCTATACCTTAGTTTCATGTTAGGATACAAAAGTATTCTATTCAATTTCAAGATATTAGTGGGAGATTGTTGTACTGACATGGATGCTATGAGAAATAGGTAACAAGGCTTTCCTCTGTTATCGAATTATATCATTTGTTTCTGTCATTGATTGTTGAAGTCTCTTTTTGCTAGCCTCAATTCACCATGTATGTCATACACTAGCTCCATTGTTGTTTCTTCCACTTGAAATTACTGAATCATTTTCGGGTTTTACATCTAACTTGATGATTTTTGTTCTGATTGTTACGGAACGAATTTGATATTGCCTCAGTTTCTTTAGGGTTATATATGTACAGTCACCATATTTTCGTCCTTATTCCTTTCCTTTTTTTTCCATGTCTATGTTTCTGCTTCAACATAAAAAGGACTTGGTAGTTTTGAATGAAACATCGCCACCTTGTTTTCCAATTTTGTTTGTAGTTTGATTTTCTTTGTTTTTGGTTTTTGGTATTAATATAAGTCACTTGGAAACAGTTCTCGTGTTTTACTGGTAGCTCTTTGAGTCTCAATTCATGATCTAGTTTCCAACTTGAACAAGGAAAACTTGACTTTTACAAATCTAGTCCCTTGAGTCTCAAATTCTTAATCTTTGTCTTTTCTTTTCTTTTGGTTAGGATCTAATAAAACGCGGCGAGAAAAGTCTGCCCTTGTATAGGTAAAGTACTCTAGCTATGAGTTGAAATAGTATGTTTCATGCTTTGGTTTCCCAGACAGTGTGTCTCACATTTAGCTTCAATTGTGCAGTAAAATTGTGGCAGCAGAGTCTCCTATGGCAATCGTTATTCTTACCAAAGGTTCCAGTTCTAGCACGAAATTGCGTGATGGTGACATTTCCTGGCATGATTTTCTAGAAACAGTAAAAGATTTCAAGTATGCACTATTTTTCTTCCTTTATGAAATCTGCATGATTCAACTTGATTACAAAATCTTGGCATACCATTGTGTGTGAACCAGCCAATATAACATTTGGATGGGCAACATTAGGTTGTTTCGTTCCATCTCCATTCTTGTTTATGGACCAGTTTTCCTTCGATTTATTGTCTCGGATGGGATCCTCTTTAAGTTTGTCGATGCTGTCTGCGTGCATTAAAATAACTTGACCTATTACATAATTATCTTGAAAGAATCTAATTATCAGCAGGCTCTGATACCGATGTTGGATTGTTCCTTTTCATATCTTCAGAGACAATGAATTTGCTGCTGTAGAACAACCCATAGAAGCATTTACAAATATTCTCTTCTCATCTGGAACTACTGGTAATTTGAATGTTGAATTTAACTTAGCCCTGCAATAATTCTATGTTGCTTTTCCACGAATGAAAAATTTGTCAAGTCTTAGATAAATTTAAGTTTTCAAATCAGCCAACGGTTATGTGACATCCAGCAACAGTCCTAATTGGGCTTTAACTTTGATGTAGGGGATCCAAAGGCAATTCCATGGACCCTTGCAACTCCTTTCAAAGCTGCTGCAGATGCCTGGTGTCACATGGACATCCGTATAGGTGACGTTGTTGCTTGGCCCACAAATCTTGGGTGGATGATGGGCCCTTGGCTGGTATATGCTTCATTGTTAAATGGAGCTTCCATTGCCTTATATAATGGATCTCCACTTGGATCCGGCTTTGCCAAGTTTGTTCAGGTAGTTAGCTCTGTTATATGCTCGGAACAGTAAATTAAAAGTATTTTGGCTTGATAGAAAATGCGCATATATGATAAGATATTCTCATTAATTGTCTATATGATATTTTAGTTGTAAATACTTTCTTAGAACTAAAACTCTTGCAATCTGCTAGGATGCCAAAGTAACAATGCTTGGTGTAATCCCGAGCATTGTTCGGTCATGGAAAAGTACAAATTCTGTTTCCGGCTATGATTGGTCTGCCATTCGGTAAGTTTTAGTTGTCTTTCTTAGTATGTACCATATTAGTCTGAACATCTGGATTCTTGCGTTGCATTTTTGAATGAAATATGTTTTATATCAGTAATGATCTTTGCTATTGGTGTTGATCAAGCCATAATCTCTTTTCTTTCCTTCCTATGAAATGTGATAGTTGCTTTGGATCCACCGGCGAAGCATCAAATGTAGAGGAATACCTATGGCTGATGGGGAGGGCTCACTACAAGCCTATCATTGAGTACTGTGGTGGTACAGAGATTGGTGGTGGTTTTGTTACTGGGTCGTTGTTGCAGGCTCAGTCGTTGGCTGCTTTTAGCACACCAGCTATGGGCTGCAGTTTGTATATTCTTGGCAATGATGGTGTTCCTATTGTAAGCACCAAAAATACCTCACATTTGAAGAAATTTTGCATCTGTACTTTTCAAGTCGCAGCAACTTTTTTGCATGGTCAAGTACTCACATACTTATCGTAGAAAGTTTCATCTTCTATTGCAGCCACAAAATGAGCCAGGGGTTGGTGAATTGGCGCTTGATCCCGTCATGTTTGGAGCTTCTAGTACATTACTGAATGCTAATCATTATGACGTTTATTTCAAGGGAATGCCAATTTGGAATGGAAAGGTGAGCAAATTTCTTCTTCACTGTCATACCAATATACCATGTAAGCTCAATAAAAATTTCTCTGATTTTGCAAAATGCAGGTGTTAAGGAGGCATGGAGATGTGTTTGAACGGACATCTAGAGGTTACTATCATGCGCACGGTCGTGCAGATGATACAATGAATATTGGGGGCATCAAGGTACTTTTGGAGAGAAAACACAAAGAAATTCAATATTTGGGATACGCATGCACATGAAATATTCTGACCTGAACCTTCTGACGTAAAGTTCCAAGTATACACAGTTTAGCCTGAAATGAACTCACTAGTTATAATCACGATACGTTTGCTCTGATGCACTCCATTTTCTTTTTCCAGGTTAGTTCGGTTGAGATTGAACGAATCTGTAATGCAGTTGATAACAATGTTCTCGAGACAGCTGCGATTGGAGTGCCGCTTGCTGGAGGCGGGCCTGAGCAGCTAGTAATTGCCGTCGTATTCAAGAACTCAGATAACCCAACTGCAGACTTGAATCAGTTGAGAATGTCCTTCAATTCAGCCGTGCAGAAGAAATTAAATCCGTTGTTCAAGGTATCGATCCTCTGCTCCTAAGTTAACCAACAACATGCCTTACATTTGTATATTTATGGATAATTTGCTGACTTTTTCCTTCGGCCGCGCAGGTTTCCAAAGTTGTGCCTCTCCCGTCTCTTCCAAGAACAGCAACAAATAAGGTCATGCGAAGGATTTTGCGGCTGCAGTTTGCTCAACTCGACCAAGGTCCTAAGCTGTGACAATGGGGTGCTCCTCCGTGTAAAGGCGGTGCCACGCGTCACGGTCCAGACTTTGTAGCGCAGCGGAATATGAACCGCGCAGCGCCATAGACTGTTGAATTACATGCGGCCCTCGATATCAAGCATGTTGCACCAACAGAAAGAAGAAATAAATTTGATGTACAAAGATTGTCTCAGCTCTACATTGTTGTACAATCGTTTTACTGCACTGTTGCAATTTAATATCTGAGCATTTTCGTCGATGGAAATAGCGTAATTCTCAGTTGATTTTTATTTTACTACCCTCGTTGCATCATGAAATTCACACTTTATTACTTTTAGTTTTTTTATTTCACTTTCGTACTTAAAAATTACGCTTTGCTTCCAAAATCATACTTCCTTTGGCCCCACCGCTCCCATCTTCACCCGTACAGTCTCCTGCATGTCATCCCCGCCGCCGCCGGATACTCCCCCACCCCCCGGCTCCCCCGCGACTACTCTAAATCTACACCAATGATGCCCCCTCTATCTTTATCTCAGCAGATACTCCTCTCACCAAAAGGCTTATTAATATCAATGCCACAATGATTTAACAGAATTTAATGAAGATAACGAGATAAGATAAAATATTACGATCTAGTGATATTCATTTTCACTTGAAAGTGAAAGGTTTTAGATTCGAATCTCGTGAATGACAAATTTGATACCAAATTAGGCTGCTCATTATGTGGTTTAGCAGAACTCCCCTCCTCTTCTTGTAAAAATATTGATATACTAAAAAAAAAACGAGATAGGACGAAGTGACACAAAGCTAGCTTTTTGGGTGTAAATGACACATTTTTAGTTAAACAAGGGCAAAGTGACTAAAATTGATTCTTGGGGGCACTGACGTAAATAAGCAAAAAGAAAATGTGCGCAGTGCGCATCGTCGCACAAGGTAGTTGGGGCCGGCTCACTCTGTTGAAATATACAAGGCAGCAGCGGATATAGTTACTCCTCTTCCATCCCCAGCCACCCCCAAAACCCCCTGTTGGCTTGCAGCTTCGGAGCCTATTTCCATGGCGTCCAACCACCATTCGAATTAGGGTTTTCTCAGTTCGCAGACCTCCCCAAGAAAAAAAGCCATGGCCTCCCTCTCCATCTCCTCCCCCAATTTCACCACCGCTTTCCTCGGCCACAAACTGTACTCTCTCTCCCCCCTCTTTCCTCTCTGTTTATATGTATATATCTGTGATTATATCTATTGATTTGGATGTTTTCTTGCAGTAAATTTCTCGAAAATTCGAAGAAGCTGCCAACTTGTTGCTCCGTTGTACGAGCTCCTAGATGTGCTGCTGCTGGTACATCTTATGGAGGTAAAATTCATTTCTGCCCTAGCTCTTTTTATTGTAATTTGGAGAATTTTTATTTATTTGGTTGCCTGATTTCACTGTTCAGACCCAGAATTTAGATTTTAGGACACAAGATTTTGTAGTAAGGATAAAAGACACAAACTTTTGCTCATGCTAGTTGAAATCGAGTTGATGGGAATTGCGAAGCGAAGTTCTTGTGAGCATCGAGAATCAAGTAGTTGTTGTCTCACCCTGCTCTTTTTTGCCCCTCGGGTGAATGGCAGCTATCCATTGTTGAAGGTTCTAGGATGGGTACTAGTTTAACCTAGAGGGGGGTGAATCGGTTGCATTTTGTTTAGGAATTTCCAATTTTACTCTAGCAATTGCGTTATGTGGTGAATGATTAAAACACTTGCATGACAGATAAATCTTGTTTTATTATACCCGACACTTAGAACTTATGTTGGATATGTAGTACTAGTACCAGTACTTAGTGGTTTAATATATCTGACTTGAGAGTTCTGCCTGGATAAGTAGACGGCTGACCTTTGCTCATTTCGCATTTTTATTGCCTCTGTAGGTAATGCTCCAAAATTCCCTAGAATCAGTGTTTGGGATCCGTATAAACGTCTTGGTGTGACCTATGATGCGTCTGAGGAAGAAATTTGGGGATCACGCAATTTTCTCTTACAACAGTATGCTGGACATGAAAGAAGTGAAGAATCAATTGAAGCTGCTTTTGAGAAAATCTTGATGACCAGCTTCCAGCAGAGGAAGAAAACAAAAATTAATTTGAAGAGCAAGTTGAAAAAGAAAGTTGAAGAGTCTCCGCCTTGGGTTAAGAACCTGCTCAATTTTGTGGAAGTTCCACCTGTTGAAGTTATTTTTAGAAGATTGTTCCTCTTTGCGTTCATGGGTGGCTGGAGTATCATGAACTCAGCTGAAGGTGGACCTGCATTTCAGGTTTGTTCTGATTGCCAAGGCTCGAATCGCCTTATATCTTTTAATCATACCTGTTGCCATTTTTATCATTTTCTTTTATCCAAGTGAAACCTTCAGTCATGGTAATTGAATGCGTAGGCTAATATCAGCTTGTCCTTAGTGCATCCTTTATTGGAAGCATTGATTTGAAACTTGTTTTATTTGTGACGGATTTGTGCAAGTTTGAGGAGGAGGTTTACTCTCTCAGTTACTTAGTTAGACATTGTTTTTTTGGTGTGCTGTTCTTAGATATCCTTTAAGCCGTTCATGAGACATCTTCGTTTGTTCACAATGTGGATGATATATTTGATTGAGTTGCTCTCGTCATATGATGAGCACAAACGGTTTGGAATAGAAATATGGTAGTGGCATTGCATCAGTCTCTTTGTGAAGCATGCCTTGCTGACACAATTAGACTTTTAGACATTTCTCGACGTACAGAGCAAATGCCTACCTTCTTTTGCTGAATCCAACATTGGGATCTTTAAGTCGTCTTTCTTCCATAAGATATATCCTCCCCCATCCTTCTGTGCTTCTCCATCATCCTAGATAAATGCACCCTTCCTCGTTGTTGATCTTGATTAAAACACTATAATTTGCATTTAAGCACGCAGAAAATAGATTGCAATGTTGGTGCCCCTTTCTGGAATTTGGAAATAATCGAAATATTTGTTACTACAGGTGGCGGTCTCCTTGGCAGCTTGCATCTATTTCCTCAACGAGAAGACAAAGAGCTTGGCCAGAGCTTCCATTTTCGGGTAAGTTTGGACAGTGGCCATAGTTGTCTGCCTTCTTCCCTCACTCTTCTCGTTACTTACACATTGCCCCTGTTGCAGACTTGGAGCTCTTGTCACTGGTTGGGTATGCGGTTCGGTCTTGGTCCCGAATATTCCATCAATGCTCTTGCACCCGACTTGGACCCTCGAACTTCTAACTTCACTCGTAGTGTACCTGTTCTTGTTTCTTGCTTGCACCTTTCTCAAGTAGTCGAACTCAAATTATTTTGTCAGGCTCCATCGTTTAGAAGTCACATTTTTCTGATAGTTGTGAACTCAGCCAAAGCTTGTATGTTTCGTCTTGATGAATTACGAGTCCGCCACTTTACAGCTTATGCATTTGAGAGTTTGGGATTTTTTTTTTTTTTTTGTTTCCTTCTGGAATTGTGTTGGGAACATTGTTCGGCTTACCAACTTCATAATATGTGTTAGAATACTTGAAAAATATTTCAACCACTAACATGAATCTATTATGACATTTGGTGTAGCGGGCTGTGTTCTTGGCACATTGAAAAATCTTTCCTTCTTAACTTTGTTGTCTCATAATACGTATCAATCAATGATATGTCATAAACTTAACATGAAGTTTTTATTATTAGTACACTCTTAGGTTAATAAAGTATCAATCATGTCATTCACTTAAACTGTTTAATACGTGAGTTAGTAGCACTACATGTTTATGTTACAATTATATTATAAAATTTCTAAAATAGATGGGCTTATACTTCGTCTCATGTAAGTCTCTCTCGAAATAGCAACTGAAGTTTATCGTTTTCTACATTTAACTACCACTTTACCCTTGTTCCATTGTGTTGTTGTGGGCCTTGTGGCCCATATATGAACAACAACTTTTTTCTTGTGGGTTTGGGCCCCAAAGTCCAAACTAGTGAAAAAAAAACCCGGGTGGTAGGTTGCATCGCATGCACGCACCGTTGTCGGTTGTCCAAAGCGAATGAGGAACCTCTCATGATTCTTTTTTATCGTATATTGTACAATTATTTTTCGTCAGATATTATTTATATTTAATTTTTAATAAAACAATTTATAATAACTTTTAACCGCATAATGTTATAATGTATAATTAACGCATATGATTGGAAGGACCCTTATCCGTCCAAAGCGGGACCAAAAATATTTAGGGAACTTTAACGAAAAGCTTCCGGTACTGTTCACTTTAACGAAAAACCACATTTTTACATTAAAAAATCAATCATGATACTATTCATTTTACCCTTTATTTTATCTTTATCGTTAAATCTCAAAGTTTTCAAGTCATTTTCATTAGTTTTTTTAAATATTTAAGGTAGTTAAACGGACCCCACATGCCACCTCAGCATATACACGCACGCACGCACGCACGTGACGCACAGCCATCTACCTTCCTCTCTCCAGAGCTGGCTGCTTCAGTCTCAACGTCTCCGCGAGTCCAAACGACACCACCAACCAACAACCCGCACGTTATATTCATCGCCACCTCGACGGATTTTCCCACACTCTCTCCCCTTTTTTATCTCTCCTCCCCAAACTTTCTGTCCCTCCAAACACTTTTCTCTCTCTAATACTCCCTCTCTCCCTCTCTCTCTCTCTCTCTCTCTCTCTCTAAACATGGCTCTAGCTACCCAGCCCACCACCAACCTCCTCCAAAACCCCTTCCTCTGCTCCAAACCCCAGCCCAGACCCCAGCTCCCCACCGGCGTCCCCTGCCTGGCCCGGCGTCGTTCTGGCTCCGTCCAATGCTCAGTCGCCGTCGCGCCCACCGCGGCCGCCAAGGCCTCCAAGGAGTACAAGGTCAAGTCGGTGAAGGCGAGGCAGATCATCGACAGCAGGGGTAATCCGACTGTCGAGGTTGATCTGGTCACTGACGATCTGTACCGATCGGCCGTGCCCAGTGGCGCCTCCACCGGAATTTACGAGGCGTTGGAGCTCAGAGACGGTGACAAGGCTGTCTACGGCGGGAAAGGTGTGCTCACTGCTGTGAAGAACATCAATGAGATTTTGGGACCCAAGCTCGTTGGCGTCGATGTCAGGTTAATTAAGCTTAAGCATTTTTGTTTAATCTCTTTTATAGTTAATCCTTTTCTTAATTCTAATTAGTAATAGTTTAGGAATAGATGTTAGAAAAAGTTCACTGATTTAAGGAATGTTAAAGAAAATTTACTGAGGGACCGCTTGGAAGCCCGTCGGGGACTTCTACTCTTGCTCGAAGTGCTTTTGTTAGAAGCATGTCAAAATCTTTACTAAAAATTCAAGTGCTTTTCAAGAAAGAACAGGGATTTGCTTGTTGAAGAAGCACTAAAGCACTTTTGGCCATTCCAGAAGCTGTCTCAAACAGCACTAACTTGTTAGCCTTGATGTTGATTATGTTTATATGAGTTGTTTAGGCATATTTTGTTGAGTGCTGGTTATGAAGTTCCGAAGTTTTTGCTTTTTTCAGAAATCAAAATGAGGTTGATGCACTTATGTTGGAAATCGATGGAACCCCAAACAAGTCGAAACTGGGGGCCAATGCCATATTGGGAGTATCTCTGAGCGTGTGTAGAGCGGGAGCAGGAGCAAAGGGAGTGCCATTGTACAAGCACATCCAGGAAGTTTCAGGAACGAAGGAGCTTGTTATGCCCGTCCCAGCTTTCAATGTGATAAATGGAGGCAGCCACGCAGGAAATAATCTGGCAATGCAGGAGTTTATGATCTTGCCTGTTGGTGCATCCTCGTTCGCTGAGGCACTCCGCATGGGTAGTGAAGGTTAGTCAGATTTGTTATTCATTTTCCGCATATATGGTTTATGGAGCAGAAAATGCTTGAATCGCTATTGATTAGTATGCTCTTGGCGTTTTTTGAACGGTTGATAATTGATAAAGTGTTCTGGATTGCATGGAGCAGTTTATCATACACTAAAGGGAATTATCAAGGCAAAATATGGACAGGATGCTTGCAATGTTGGAGATGAAGGGGGGTTTGCTCCCAATGTGCAGGATAATAGGGAGGGTCTAGTTTTGCTCATTGATGCTATTGAAAAGGCTGGATACACCGGAAAGGTAGGACCGTAGTAGGTGTTGGCATTATTTCTCTCTTGCAATTTCTTATAGAAATGTGTTATGCGGACTCACAACAATGTCATTGATGCAGATCAAAATAGGAATGGATGTTGCAGCTTCAGAATTTCTCACCAAAGAAGGGAAATACGATCTCAACTTTAAGAAACAACCAAATGACGGGGCCCATGTGCTCTCGCCTCCGAACCTTGGGGAGCTGTACAAGGAGTTCATTAAGGAATTCCCAATTGTGTCTATTGAAGATCCATTTGACCAAGACGATTGGAGCTCGTGGTCTTCACTTCAGTCTTCTGTTGATATCCAACTTGTAGGAGATGACTTGTTGGTCACAAATCCAACAAAAATTGCTGAAGCCATTCAGAAGAAGGCATGCAATGGTTTACTTCTAAAGGCAAGCATATTTAACTGCGTCAATTGTTTTCCTTTAAATGATAGCCGACCCCACTTAGTGGGAAAAGGCTTTGTTGTTGTTGTTGTTGTTGATTGTTTTCCTTTAAATGGTTAACCTTGTGATTTGAGTAACTTGATCGAGCTCATTTTCATCCTTTGAATTGCAGGTTAACCAGATCGGCACAATAACTGAATCTATTCAGGCAGCACTCGACGCAAAAGCTGCAGGTTGGGGTGTTATGGTCAGCCACCGGAGTGGAGAAACTGAAGATAACTTTATCGCTGATCTTTCTGTTGGTTTGGCTAGTGGACAGGTTTGTTGGCTAATTCCTATAACTATGCTCTCTATATTCGACTTCATTTATACATGAAATCGACGATTTCATTTTGTTCTGAATAGATCAAGACAGGAGCTCCCTGCCGAAGTGAGCGGTTGGCCAAGTATAATCAGGTTAAAACCAGAACATTTCCATTCCCTCAACACCATCCACTTTCGACTTGTTTTCCTGAATGTGCACAAAGCATTAGAATTGAAGAGTGACTGAAATTATCTCTTTATCTGTGTTTTGATTTGGATGCAGCTTCTGCGTATTGAAGAGGAACTCGGCAATGTGCGTTATGCTGGCGAAGCTTTCAGATCTCCCTAAGCGACGAAATTTATCAGATCATTCATCCAAGTCATCTAAGCTTCCCTTCCAGCCAATTCAGATTTCCTGGAAAATCTACAGAAATTTTTGATAGAGTTTATCAAGTCAGGTGCAGTTCCGTGTGCCGGCGTCATCCGGTTCAACTTTGTAGTTCTTGTGCGGCCTTGTAATGTAATGTACCGTGTATTACATCTCGATTTGTCGATCGAATCTTGCAATGGTTCAGAGGCAAAACATCAATTTTACTAGTGAAAGTGTTTTGAGTTCCCGAATCTCTTGTCGTTTTAAGTAGAGCTTTAACCGTCGGCGGCGCAGATTGTGTTTTCTTGTGCGGACATGTCCGTGTTTGAATGCCACAACATAACATCACAAACATAAACTCAAACAGAGAGCTTCACTAATCACTACTATCATAACAAATCCTTGGATGCATTCATCACAATCACAACTCTGCTGAGTTGGTTAATGAAGGCCAACACAAACAAGGAGAGCGGTTCATACGGGATGACTTGACTCGATAAACTTGATATCATCGTCTAACAAGAAGCACTTCTCTCAAATCACTTCTCGGCGCCTTAGTTACCTCGTTGCCTTTCTGTCATCAACCGCAATGGTATGCTTTCTCTACGGTGCTAAAGCCAAACCACACACATTAAGAAGCATCGGCTCATTTAGTGATCGTCCCTACCGACAGTGATGAAGGTTAAACCTGAATAGACGGCCCTGTGTAATTTCCCGAGCGCATGTAAAGATTATCCGGTTCTGTCTCAGCAAGCCATGCATACTCCTCTTCTTTACCGTCCTCTATTTTAATTTTGTTTTCCGTAGCTGCAGTTTTCATCAGACCGCTAAACTCATCAGCTTTTCTTTTCATGCGAATTAACTTCAAGAAGGAAAGAAAACCCTAACTAGAAATCAAAGTTACTTACCAAACACGGTGTACGGATAATCACGGTAGTAGGTACATTTTCTGCCTGCATCTTCTCTGTAAGGAGGTGTGAGAATGTCAAGAACAGCACAAGGAGTGACTGCCGTGAAGTTATGCAGATTCCCCCCACTCCTTGGATACAAAACTGATGTTGCACATGGTGCCGTTAAAACCTTGTCCACTGCCAGCTTCGCCAATTTTACTGCATTGGAGAGCAATTTCATCAGTTCTCCCGTATTTAAACCCTCTAATTACGAAAATCATGAGCATGGCATACAGTTGTATCTCTCTCGTGAAGCTTAGCTTCTGAAAATCATTCAACGGGCATTTGTAACTAGACGTAAGG